GCTCGTGAAATTTTCTATCGAACGGTATATAATGGTTGGGGTTTTATTTGACTATGATGGGAAAAGTCTTTTACGAAAGCTGGGATGGGTCGATTTTCGCATAGGAAGCCATAGGGAAAAATGACTATTTTTTGCAATAACTCACGAATGGCTCGGCCGATCATGTTCATCTTCGAACTCGACCGAGATATTGTTAAGACTAAACTGTGTAGAAAATTTCATCATGATCTGACTCTTCTTTCGAAAGTTATCGTGTATACGGCCGGATGACCGGACGGCCATACGGACCGATTCTAGAGTGTACTCACTTTTTGAGTACACAAAAAGAACTGCTCTGTTTTAATGATACGTATTATTATTTTTTGTATTTCAGTTTCTTTCAAGTTTCTATATTTTTTCCTTTTAGACAAATTTTAAAATGTATTTTCTATTTCAAAATGTGAGAAAACTAATATTACAGATTGATCGAGAATAGCCTATTGGCTCTATGGAACGTTTGTCAATGATTCTCAATCTATCGAATCTTCAAACAGTATCATTGGATTTCCAAGACGAGTGTAAGCTCAATACGAGTCTGGATGTCGAAATGAATACCCTATTTAAACGAGCATGGAATCTTCGTTCAATTGAAATAATTGGTAATAGTTCTGAAAGAATGAAATTGATAACTTTCAATGCAATTTGCTTGGACTTGCCTCGTCATATCAAATATTTTGATACTGAAATCACTAATGTAGACGATGCCATATTGATATTGGAGTGAGCCCAACACTTATCGAGTATTACTTTTCGACTCGCCTATGACATTGAGGATTTTGCAAATATGATCGAGCGATGGCTCTCGCGCATGGAAAGAGATTTTATATGTGAGTCAGAGTCGGAGGGAGGTTTCAATTGTCCCTATAAGAGCATGGTGAATGTAGTACACTTATGGCTTGGAAAAAGTATGAATAAGCCATTGAACCAGTCAATTAGTCACAAACGTGTCAAACGTCACGATTACTATCACTAATAATGAATTTATTCCTTTTATTCATTTCGACAGACATCATTTCGAACAATCATTGTCAGACTCATCAACTCATTGTATACTTTGTTCTTCAAATAAAAGTATTTGCCATCAAACATTTTAATATATTAGGAATAGAAGCAAATTCTATTACAATGATTTTTTTCATTGGACAATAATCGTGTTTCTTACAACTGAAAAATATTTATTTCGAAAAAAAGTTTTGAAGATTTTAATTCCTATATCGTTGAATAAGGCTACTGCATCAATTTATTTTTATGGTAGTTAAAATAGAGATATTCATACCATTAGATTTAACATACAATTGTCATAGTAATCAGCTAATTGTTGTAAATTATATCGAAGAAAATCCAAGATAAAATATTTATCGATAAGTTAAGATTTTTCAAAGATGATAAATGCTCAAGATGTAAAAATTTAGATAAGCAGAAAGATAATTTCTTCAACCGAATAAGAATACGGATGTGAAATACTATTATGTCAACCTACTCTACACACAACTACGCTCACATCTGATACGTCTTGCACTTGAATAGTTTTTGAATATCATGAAGGAAAAGATAGAAAATTATGGGAAAGTGGCGTTTCGTCTCACTTTTCCGTTACGAACTCCGGTTGTCATAGTCCGTTACGATCTCCGGACATGAGAAAAAAGACACGGTGTTCGGAATGGAATTGTCGATGACAAAATCAATAAAAAGCAACAAAAAACAGGATGTTCGGAATGAAGTTTGTCCAGGAATCCGTAACGAAATCTAACAACCTATTTTTAGTAGTTGAACAGTGGAATTTTTACTGGAGATCGGAAGAAAAAGATCCGGAAGTTCGTAATGATAAAGACAGGGTGATCGTAATAAAGACTACCAGATCTTCGGAATGAAAATGACAGGATATCCGTAAAGAAAAGAGCAGGATATTCGTAACTATCTATCTTGAGATATACTCCTTGTAATATTCTGAAGTGACATGCTTGTCTTCTAAGCTGATTGATTAGGAGCATCTTAAAGAATACAACCAATCGAGACTGCTTACTTTTACTATTCCAATTCTAGTTGAAAAAGGAAAAAAACAAGCAGTCTTTATTCACTTTTACATTTAGATTTGAGTAGATACACAATTTAATATTATAATAAGAAGAATGAAATGCACAGATCAAAATTTTCAGTATATTTATTTTTTCATACGTTTGTTTCTCGCACTACCGTTTGTAACTTTGACTGCTTTTGCATTGGTTGACGTAGTGGAACTGCAAACGGAAAAAAGACAACAAATATTAGTGTTCTCATCGTTGAAAAAGAGCAAAACACTTACATGCGTAAGACAGGTTTACCATTATCATCCTCTTCATCTTTCGATAAATGGTTACGTTTTTTGACACTAACTGCTTGTTTTTTCTTTGACTGTGTAGCAGTGAGAACAGGCTGGGATGATAATGTGGAAGATGATAACGAAATAGTAGTAGTACCATTCGTCATAGTTCTTAGACGTTTCGCTATTGGAGTTGAATATAAGGAAGATGGCGGAGCAGCTTTTTTGATCGGAGTTTTCGACGACAGTAGTTGCTCGTGCTTTTTCATCAATTTACGATATGTCTGTTTCTTCGGTAGTGGAGATGGGCAGCGTTCAGCAGAGGATGAACGTGAGCGAGAGGTACTCTTGTCAGCAATTGGTGATAACGACGTCGTTGTTGACAACAAAACTTGTTTTGGTGTAAGTGATGGATCAGTTGATGGCAACGTGGACGAAGACACTGTGGTTGTTGCTGCAAGTGCTGTTGGACGTTTTTGTGTTTGTTGCTGTCGCGTTCCTAACTTCGTAACATCGTAATCAACTTTAGAGCTATTTCTGGTTACTGCAACATTATTATTTAATATGCGAGATATAAATTCACATCTTTCACGAGAAATCAGATATTTGGAATCTTGTACAAACTTAACATAATCGGCAACGATGGGTAACGTTCCGTGTTGTTTCAAATAATTTAAACCATACTCAATCAACAATTTAACTTCACATTCGTTTGTAAAGACACGATAATAACCTAAAACGAAAAGATGAAGTTGTAAATCAGATGTATCTTCTTTCAGTTCTCTCTCAAATCATATTAAACTTCAGATAAATAAAATGGTAAACAAAAGGCTTACCTAAATTTCTTCCTTTAGTAATCTTCGCATACAAATTGAATTCATCTAAATTTGGTTCCTTCACAAGATAATATCGACGCGATGAGTCGATTTGTCGTCCATTAGCTTTTTTGTATAATTTTCCATGATCAATACCGTCCTCTGTTGGTCTATTATTGATATTGTGCACAAATTTGATTAAATTTTCCAATAATACTTCCGATGCTATTCCCGGATACAGTTTTTGATAACAATCGTCGGCTAATGCTCCTTGAACGATTTCATCTAAGAATGAAGAAAAGAGAAAACGAGCATTATCTTTGTTTTGCATATATTCTTCTTCATTTTTTAGACCTTACCATAACTTTTGTAGTCTCCGTTACTTTTGAAACTAATTTCCCAGAATGTTGTAGGTGGCATTGGCTACAATCAAACAATAAAATGGCCAAATTGATGACGACAATTTTTATCCGAATAATGTATTGGCGGAGAACGATGATTGAGAGAGTTGCTTGGGAGAATATTACGAGATCTAAAATAAATCAATTACGTTCATAACTGCATGAATAAACATTTCTAACTTCTTATATTTACTTTGAATAACTATAAAGTTTGTTCCTAAGTTTCGTCTTTTAACCTACTCAGAATATTGATATATGACAGCAGTGCCTATAAAAATGAAATGCTATATATTTGAAAGTTTGAACCGGCCGGCTGATTCGTCATCGCCACCGTGAGAACAAAAGAACATTTTCACGGCCGCCGGCGAGGAACTCACAAAGTGGAGTCAGTCGCCGTCGTCAGTCAATTTATTTACTTACGCTCCTATATATAATGTAAGAAATAGAACACTCTTTTGAATTACATATATTCTAAATGGTTGTCACTCGTAGTCAGGCTTCAGCTACTGCATCATCATTATTAGCTTTGAATTCTGTCAGTAATGCGAACAAATTGCCAAAGGTATCACGACGTGGTCGGATAATTGAAAGAAAGTCAAGAAGGTCGACATCACCTTCTCCTCCAAATGCCACTTATCGATCTCATTCACAACTATTGAAGAAAAGCTTAAGTAACAACAATGCCGATGATACAAGATCAGTTACGTAAGTGTTTCTTATGTTTTCTTCCACTCTTTTGTGGAAGAAAAAGTCTAAAAGGCTCTTGTTTATTGTTATTTTCTTTGTTTCCCATAGTTCAAAGACAAGCGCGCATGCATCTTCTTCATCATCTGATTCTTCTTTCACATCTTGTGCAAAATCTTCTCGTTCTTCATCTAATTCAAGCACTACATCGTCTTCGTCGTCTGACTCCCACTCATCCACATGCATAGGAACGTCCTCAGTAATCAAAAGTATGACTAAACTGAAAATCAGTTACAAGGACGATTCTTCCTCGTCGATCAACATTTCTTCGTCTCAGCAGTCAAATCGTCTTCCTCAAGCTGGAGAGATTTCAGTTTATAAAAGCACCAGAGGTGGTGATTTTCTCTGTCTTCACGGCTACACATATCAAATTGATCGACGAATGAAGAATAAAATAAAATGGAAATGTAAAGAGAGCAGAAATAAGACAAGATGTGGTTCAAAAATTTATACAACAGAAAATGTGGGAACTGATCGAATATCAGCTTATAAATATCTTGGATCAAATGATGTTTTTCACTCACATGACGGAGACAATGATCAAAACAAAGTTGCAATTTTTCAATCACAAGTTAAAGATACTGGAACAAATAATCGAACTGTACCACCATCAAGAATTATTAATCAACTAGCAACTTCTATGAAATTAACTGATAAACAATTGGGCATGATTCCACTTCATGCTACATTGTGTAAGTTCGCTTTTCTATTTGCAAATATTTCCACTCATACGATAGTGATTCTGGCAGTCTCATGTGCTGCTTGATATGATGGAAAGCTTTAATATGCCTGCTGTTTTCTCTGTTTAGATTATAGAGTCTATCGTGCCAGAAGCAAAACAGTTCCACCACTGCCAAAATCTGTGAAATTTGACATTCCAACTACATTTTCAACTACTTCCTCTGATGAGAAATTCATATTTTTTGATCATTTATATTGTAAACAAACCAAAAGAATTATAGCTTTTGGAAGTCCAATGCAGCTGAAAAAATTGTTCACTTCGAAACTAATATGTGTCGATGGAACATTTTCAATTTGCCCGAGAAAACATAAACAATTATTAATTATTCAAGCCATCGATCAACAAAGGTATGATGGTAAGCCAATGATTGTTTATTAAATTTTTTTCTCTTGCAGTTGCTCCTTGATTCCACTGAAGTGATTCTTTTCTTCATCTGTTTACTTCTAGCAACACCTGTGCTCTATGCGCTTTTGAACGATAAAGAAGCTCATACTTATACATTACTTTTCCGAGCATTGAAAAGAACAGCAATAGAAATGAAAATGAAATTTGAACCAGACAAAGTAATAAGTGATTTTGAAAGCGGGTTCATTTCAACAGTAAGAAGAGAAGTGAGTGTTTATTTGTATGCTCATAGGAACAGAGAATTTATTGCATGTATTTTTTTCTCTTTCTAGCTTCCGAATACAACTCATCAAGGTTGTTTATTTCATTTGTATCAACGTTTAACAAAGAAATTGAAGAAATTTGGTTTAACGGGTGGATCGAAAGTTTTCGCACAAAATGTTTGTTTATATCTGACCCACTTGAAAATATTTCAGACGAGTCGAAAACTATGGATTAAAACCAGAATTTTGTGCTATTTCTGAATA